GTTAGTATGCAGTCCTTGAAATCGTTGATTATAAAAAACAATTTAAATCAAGAGAACTGTCAAAGAATTTTTATGCCACCGATTAGTTTGCACGTGTAAAAAGGCACAAAACCACAAGGCCTAATAGAAGGATACTCTCAAAGATAAGAAAAAAACTACGTTTGAGAATGCTCTTCACAATAGATATGTTGGAGTGAAAAAATAGAAATGTAAAACACAAAGTAATTTGACCCGTGGGACTATCAGTTAAAAACATTTTCATTTACTTTCTGTCCCCATAACAGTGTGTAAATATAAGTTTGTAAAGTTTTTTCATATTAACTTAATGGCGACCGTGCGACACTCGACGCAGTTGCGATATGCGTGAGATATAACGAAAGGTGATTTACCTACAAACAAAACTAGTACAGGCAGTGTCAACTAAAAATCGAAAAGCGAGTTGGTCCCATGGGCCAGACACGTAAATAGTGCGGTGGTTAATGGGTTGCTCTAATTTCAAGATATGATGACAGTAGCATGCGTAAGTAGGTTGTTATTCTTCAGTTATATTGAACCAACAATAAGAAGTCTCAAAAACAATATGGCTACAGCAATTAAAAAAAACAAAACGACATTGCCAATTTACCCTATCTGGATCAACTTCCAGGTCAAAATCAGTCTTTATTTGGGACTTTACTTTCTCCATGAAATGCATATATACGGCCTGAAATATTAACATATTTTCATAGATAATGAGTAATAACTAAAGAGGTTAATTAACCGCATGATCTATGTCAGGATTGGAGCTTTTCGCATACTCCAAATCAAAGTAAAGCCGACAAGGTGTCGATTCTGTTATGAGCTCGTAGAAGTTCCGCTTCTCCAGAGATTGATACCAAACCCAAAATCGCTCCAAAGTGCTAACAAGATATCGACGTTCACCAGCTAAACTGCACTCTCTGACCCGGAGAAAAACAATGCAATACTTTTAAGATAGACATACCAGCATGTTCAGGGCACTCGACACTAAATACTCTCGAGTTTTTAAAAATTTTGGACGATTCCGAAAGTTTCTCAAGCGCTAGACGCTGTTTTGGAAAAGTTTCCATTTCTCCTAAACTTTTCTCGACAAGAGAAGCTTTCTTGAATGTTCCCTGAAAGAAGTTTCTAAGTATTTGAAGTATTCTTCAATAAACGCTGCACTTACCGGTAAAGACGACGAGCTTCCTCTACAGTCGTTCGGACTTAACTCTTGCTTCTTCCTTGGGGGTCCGTAAAACCAGGAATCATTTAAATGTACAGATTCATTGAATGAATCATCAGGGTCAAGATCCGAAAACCTTCTGCTAGAAGGTTTGGGATGCAGTGCCATTAAATTCTCAAATCTCTGTATTAGAGAATAAGATAGGCCAAAATTTTCTGCTCTTATTTATACTCACAAAAGCGTGCGAATAGAAGTAGTACTTCTTAAAAGAAGTAAACAAAACACAAAAACAGAATAATACAGGATGATGATGGCAGATAAAAGAGAGTAAAGAGTAAGAAAGTAAACTGCAAAAAAGCTCTATATGATCTCAACGTCAAAGTGATGACAATCAATAGAACATAGAAGCTTGAATTAAAAATTGATAAGGAAGATTTCAAAAATTTGAAAAATGTACTTACGCGCCGACTGCAATTAACAATGGAGCGTGAAATTGGCAGTAAACACAACGTCGCGTGCTGCTAATCACCATATGAGTTTGGATTACTACGCTACAGCCAAAAATCTTAATAATTTTCAAGACATCTCAAACAAATCCCAATGATCTTAAAAACATAACTTTCCACAAGTTCCCTATGTACTAACTATGTGGAAATCTTACTTTTGTTACGCTGAGATTTCATCATGAGGATACAGTGAATAAAGACGATTGAAATTTTAATTTTCATAGTCGGCGCATCAGATTTACTTGGCACAGCAGGCGAACTCAAGTAGTTGAAACTCAGGGGGGAAGTGCTAATACTACTACTCTAGCTCCCTTTTATTATGGTGCTTTCTCATTCGTTTTCCTAGCTGCCAACAGAAAAGAAAGTAAACTCAATAATTATCTTGTTTTTTCTCAACGTCTGTTGTTTAGCTATGGCATTCCTATTGCTAGTTTAAATCCTCTCCGTTCTTACCACTTCCATTTAGAAATCGTATGTGTTTATATATTGTTAAATTGATCTTAGCACTATTAGTTGCATAAGTTCATTTTCAAGCAATGAATTTTAGGAAAAAAAAGTCAAATCAATCAGAAAATAATTTAGCGTCATCCAACAACTAACTAAAGTAGCTGGATGGACGCTTTACTTGATTGAATAGAATTTCTGTGGTATGACCTGTAACCTGGTCTTTGTATTTTTGTGGGGCTTTATCACTGTCATTGACCGCTAGTCCATATTTGCTGTATCGTGTCCTGTTCCCTCGTGATGGTTTACCGCCTTACCGCCGGGGTGACTCTGGGTGTCGAACTGCAAAGTACAGCGGAGGTTTATCCTCCAGCAGTCTCCCAAGTCGAGAAGGAGTTCGTCGTTTTCGCCTCCTCTGATATGCCGCTAAGAGTAGGCCATGAAGCCCCACCGTCTGGTTGTAGTCGCTAGATGGTTCCCTGATCTACATCCACATTAGTCAGCGATTGACTGTGGTGAAAGCTTGGCAGGCCTTGGCAAAACCTCAGTTTGAGGATTTATTTTATTGCTTGTGCAGCACATAATAGAAAAAGAAGCCCTGCACACTGGATCACATCTCCGGCGTCGGATGTCATCATCAAAGCCTGTGTCAGGTGGTACAGAACACCATGGATCTGGAACGGGCGTGAGGCAGCTGAATGATGGCACAGTCATCATTTGTGATGACAAAATCCCATCACGGAACGTTGCAGGCGTTGGATTTGTCGTAAACCCATCTGTTGCCCATCGTCGATTCGCATGAGACCCTATCACCTCGCCTGGCTATCCTTCGACTCTTTCCTCTGCATTAGAAAACCATTACCATCATCAACTGCTATTCTCCAACATCAGCAGCTAAGGCTCGGAACTTGATGCTTGTCATGAGGATTTGGAGGAAGTCATCCGCAAAGAGAAGTCTTACTACAAATTTGTCGTGGGTTCAATGTGAAAATCTGGATGTCAGAAGAAGGGGAGCATAGAATAGGGAGATTTGAATCAGGACTTTGGAATAAAAATGGTCACCGTATTGTTGCACTTTTATCCACCACGTGACTTTTTCATGACAACTCCATCTTTATGAGGAAAAAACACCGGCGGTGGACATGGGAGTCACCCAGCGGTACGACTCATGCGAAGATTGACCACATTCTCACCAACCGAAGATGGTGCTTACTGGACGTCTCAGTGGTACAATCCTTCAGTAGTGGTTCAGATCACCGCCTCCTTCGAGCAA